ACTGCCAAGGGACAGTTTTAGAAAGTACCACACTGCAGCTTATCATTGAAACTACATTTTGCTCATTTGAAAAAGTATGAGGGGGCTGGGGAGGTGGCTCAGTGGTAGAGCGCTTGCCTTGCATGCATGAGGCCCTGGGTTCGATTCCTCAGCACCACATAAGCAAAAAGAAAAAAGCTGGAAGTGGCGCTGTGGCTTAAGTGGTAGAGCGCTAGCCTTGAGCTGAAGAGCTGAGAGACAGCGCCCAGGCCTAGAGTTCAGGCCTCACGACCAGACCCCCCCCCCAAAAAAAAAAAAGTTAGCTGATTTTGCTATAGAAATCCCAGTATGCTCTAGAAAAAAAGGGTATCATAGTGATTTTTTTAAGTGCTTTGTTTTTTAATGTTTTGGGTTGAAACAGTGCCTTGGTTCTGTAGCCAAAGCTAGCCTTAACCTCTTAATTCCCTGCCCCAGCCTCCCAGATTCTAGGTTTACATGCATGCATTGCCATGCCAGCTTTAATACAAAGTAGCGGTTTGTTTTTGTGTTTGTGTGTTGATCCTAGAGGGTTTTGTTTTGTTTTTTCATTGTGAAAATGCCATACAGAGGGGTTACAATTACATGGGTAATCCCAGAGTTTGAACTGAGCACCCTTAACTCATGCTTAGCTTTTTTGCTCAAGGCTAGTGTTCTACCATTTGGGCCACACCTCCATATCCTGCTTTTTTTTTTTTTACTGGTTAATTGGAGATGAGAGCCTCATGGATTTGTCTACCCAAGTTGGCTTCAAACTGCAGTCCTCAGATATCATCCTCCTGAGTAGTTAGGTTACCAGATGTGAGCCACTAGTGCCTGGCTTTGTTTTTTTCTTTGTACTGCTAGGATCAGAACTCAAGGTCTCATACTTTCTAGGCAGGTGTTCTTAACCACATAAGCCATCTGTTAGCCCTTTTCGCTTTGGTTATTTTTGAGAATAGGGTCTCAAATTATTCCTGAACCATCCTGTTGGTTTGTTGGTTGGGTTGGGTTGGTTGAGCTGGTTGGTTTGGTTTGGTTGGTTGATTGGGTGGTTGGTTGGTTGGTTGGTTTTCTGAGACAGTATCTCACTATACTTGGTTAATGCTCCCAATCCTCTTGTTTCCTGCTTTCCAAATAGGATCGCAGGCATGCCCCACAACACTTTACTTCTATTTTTATTATTTGTGACTTACATTCATTTCACTTTGAAAGTATTATCACTTCTGTCAAGTAACTGTAGTATTTCAGAACCTTTATTGATGAACATTACATTTTTTTGTATATACTGATATACTTACTTGTATCTCTACCTGTTTGTGTAAGCATATCTCTAGGGCAAACTCCTAGAATTTCTAGTCAAATCCTTAGAGTTAAATATCTAGGTATAAATATATTTAAATTTTCAGTTAGTAAAAATATAGCTATTGGACTGGGAAAGTGGCTCAGTGGTAGAGTGCTTGCCTCACATGCATGAGGCCCTGGATTTGATTCCTCAGTACCACATAAACAGAAAAGTCTGGAAGCGGTGCTGTAACTCAAGTGGTAGGGTGCTAGCCTTGAGCTGAAGAGCTGAGGGACATCATCCAAGCCCAGAGTTCAGGCCCCAAACGGACAAAAAATAAAATAAAAATTTTTTAAAGGATATCCATAGTTATTATTACACTTCTCTCCCAGAAAATGTGCATTTACATTCACCAAACTATACCTCCAAAAGATAAGGCACTTAATGTTTTATATAAGTAATTACGATTCTTTATTAATAAATCGTAGACTACATACCACAACATGCTTGTTGTTCCATATTTTGAGGAGATAGATTCTAAAGGATTACTATAGCCCAGGGATTAAAGGTCAATAAAAGCAACACAGCCAGATCAAATATCAAAAACAAAAGTGGCCAGGCACCAGTGGCTCACACCTGTAATCCTAGCCACTTAGATGTTGAAGATGGAGGATCACAGTTCAAAGCTAGCCTGAGGAATGGGAAAGTGGCTCAGTGGCAGAGCACTTGCCTTGCATGCTCGAGGCCCTGGGCTGGATTTCTCAGCACGACATAAGCAAAAAGAAAAAAGCCAGAAGTGGCGTTGTGGCTCAAGTGGTAGAACGCTAGCCTTGAGCTGAAGAGCTGAGGGACAGTGCCCAGGCCCAGAGATCAGGCCCCATGACTGGACCCCCCCCAAAAAAAAAAAAAAAAAGCTAGCTAGCCTGGGCAGGGAAGTCTATGAGACTCTGATCTCCAGTTAACCACCAAAAAGCTGGGAGTGGAGCTGCGGTCCAAGTGGTAGCACCCTAGCCTTGAACAAAAAGGCTTAGAGACAGTGCCCAGGCATGAATTCAACCTCTAGGACCAGCAGTGCCCAGGCATGAATTCAACCTCTAGGACCAGCAGTGCCCAGGCATGAATTCAACCTCTAGGACCAGCAGGGGAAGAAAAAAGTGGGATGCGTTGGCATGTGCCTTTAATCTCAGCTACTTAGGATGTAGGAAGAGAAGGACTACAGTTAAAAATTAGCCTGGGCTGCTGGGTACCAGTGGCTCATGCCTGTAATTCTAGCTACTCAGGAGGCTGAGATCTGAGGATTGTACTTTGAAACCAGCCCAGGCAGAAAAGTTCCTGTGAGACTCTTATCCTCCAATTAACCACTCAAAAATCAGAAGTGGCGCTGTGGGTCAAATAGAACACTAGCCTTGAGTACAAAGAGGCTAAGGAACAGCATCCAGGCCCTAAGTTCAAGTCCCACAACTGACCAAAAAAAAAAATTTAGCCCAGGCAAAAGTTAGTGAAACCCTGACTCTAAATGAGGTATTGTATAGTATATACCTATGGTTCCAGCTACCTAGGAGTTGGTAGTAGGAAAATTGAAGTTCAAGGTTAGGACAGCCCTATCAAAGTTAGTGAGAAACACAAAATAAAAGGACATGGGGGTGTTGATGAAGTGGTAAAGAGCACCTGCCTAGCAAGCTTGAGGCCCTGAGTTTAATCCTCAATACTACTATCAACATCATAAAAGGATACAATTACAAGCCATAAAATAATAAATCATTTTAAAACTAAGCTGTTTTTATACAGCAAAAAAATAGCCATTATTAGAATATTCTATTAGAAAATATGTTTGAGGAAGGACTCTTCAAATTTCTGAGTACATCATAACCCAGTTTGTGACTTAATGGCACAGGAAAGCAATTTTTATTTTGTCTTATGGTACTATGAAAAACAAGCCTAGAAATTGAACCCAGGGCATCTTATATGCTAATCAAGTGCTCTATTGACTAGGTACATCCACCACCAATCTACATCCTTAACCCTGTGGGGTTTGTAGTGTGTTGCTATTGTGGTTTATAAGACATGGTCTCTGTCTTTTTTTGTTTTGTTTTTGGTCTTGGGGCCTGAACGCTAGGCCTGGATGCTGTCCCTCAGCTCTTCAGCTCAAGGCTAGCCCTTCTACCACTTGAGCCACAGCGCCACTTCTGGCTTTTTCTGCTTACGTGGTGCTGAGGAATCGAACCCAGGGCTTGCATATAAGGCAAGCACTTTACCACTGAGCCACCTTCCCAACTCCGGACTCCATATCTTGTCAGAATGATTTCAAATTTCTGGACTACATGCTCAGTTCCTGTGCATATTTTTTAATTTCACTGACAATAAATCATAAACATTCTGTTGTCATGGAAAATATTATTAATAAGACAGCTATAATTTTGGATTAACACTAGAAATTGCTAACTAGAGAATGGCAGATTTTTTTTAATAGTTTATTTGTTTTGTGTTAATTTGCAATGCCTCAGTTTTCCTCCATTGTCATCTATTTTGTTTTACATAGAAACACTTCGTTCTACTTTGTGGGGCTTTGGAAAAGCATGTTAAGTGTGATATTAGAGAAGATGCAAGACTGTTTTACAGAACTAAGGTAAGTTTTGTTTTTTAATCCTGGATTCATGAATGTTTAAAGTAGAGCCAGGTGTAGTTGGTACACAGTTATAATACCAACAGTTGGGAGCATAAGGTAGGTTGGATCTCAAGTTCTGGGCCAACTCAGGCTACATATCAAGATCCTGGCTCAATAAACAAAATCCGGTAGCTCATGCCTATTGTCTCAGCTACTTGAGATATATGTGATCGGGATAATCATGGTTCAAGACCAGCTTATCAAATGTTATTGAGACCCTATCTCAAGACTGGGTATAGTAGAATAAATCTGTCATCCAGCTCTGGGGGAGGTATAAAGAGAATCTCAGTTCAAACCAGTCCTGGCAAAAATACAAGTAAAACAAAAATGGCAGATGCTAGTGACTCATGCCCATAATCCTAGCTACTTAGGAAGGAGGCTAAGATCTGAGGATGGAGGCTAGATCTGAGATTTAGCCCAGGCAGAAATGTCCTTGAATCAAGACTCACCATCAACAACAAAAATTATCTAGCACGGTAAAAATTGGTTTTTCTGGTAAGTTTGAGTTCTGCAAACCATGTTAAACCTCTAAATATAAGATAAATAGCATTCATAAAACTTTGCAAAAGCTGGGCACCAGTGGCTCACGCCTGTAATCCTAGCTACTCAGGAGGCTGAGATCTGAGGATCACGGTTCAGAGCCAGTCCGGGCAGGAAAGTCCATGAGACTCTTATCTCCAATAGAAAAACCAGAACTGGCGCTGTGGCTCAAGCGGTAGCTCTTGCCTTGAGCTGAAGAGCTGAGGGATAGCGCCCAAGCCCTGAGTTCAAGCCCTAAGACCGACAAAAAAAAAAAAAAAAACTTTGCAAAAACACAAACCAGTCTAAACAAGTGAACTTTTAACCTGATAATGTAGAAAGAAATTTTAAAAAAAGAAAAACATTATCTTGACCCTTTGTTTTTTTGTTTGTTTTTTTGCCAGTATCAGGGCCTGGATGCTATCCCTGAGCTCTTTTGTTCGAAGCTACCACTCTATCACTTTGAGCCAGAGCTTCCAGTTTTCTGGTAGTTAAGTCTCTCGGGCTTTCCTGCCAGCTTTGAATTGTAATCCTCAGATCTCAGCCTACTAAGCAGCTAGGATTATAGGCGTGAGCCACCAGCACCCAGCTAAACCTGGCTTTTTGCTGGTTAATTGGAGATAGCATCTTTTGGACTTCCTGCCCAGGCTGGCTGTGAACTTTTATCCTCCAAGTCTCAGCTTCGCCACCAGTGCCCAAGTGTCTTAAGCCTTTTTAAAGATGAGATGTGGTAAAGTAGGAAGCAGTCAAAGCTTTGGGTCTTATAACAATCCACCCTTCAACATTACTATCTGGGCGTTTATAATCCAGTAAAATATAAAAGATAAACCCTTTGGAAAGTATGGATTACGTTTTTGTGGATGATTGTTAATAACTTATTAGGAAAGTTGATAAGGGTAGTTTTATTAATTTCTGTAATTTGAAAGTCTGTACATAAAATTTGAATGGCTTTTTAATTTTTTCTATTTATTTTTGGTCAGTCATGGGGCTTGAACTCTGGGCCTGGGCACTGTCCCTCAGCTCTTCAGCTTAAGGCTAGCGCTCTACCACTTGAGCCACAGTGCCACTTCCGGCTCTTATTGTTTATATAGTGCTGAGGAATCAAACCCAGGGCCTCATGCATGTGAGGCAAGCACTCTTCCACTGAGCCACCTTCCCAGCCCTTTTTCTTTTTTTTTTTTTTGGGGGGGGGGTCCAGTCCTGGGGCTTGAACTCTGGGCCTGGGCACTGTCCCTCAGCTCTTCAGCTCAAGGCTAGCACTCTACCACTTGAGCCATAGCGCCACTTCTGGGCTTTTTTCTTTTTTCTTATGTGGTACTGGGGAATCGAACCCAGGGCCTCAGGCATGAAAGGCAAGTGCTCTACCACTAAGCCACCTTCCCAGCCCTTTTTCTTTCTTGAGAGAAATCGAATTCAGTTGTTGAGCTCTGACCTTTTAGAGCTATGAGATCTTTTGTAGCAAGTTCTAAATTGATTGTGTGAATGAAACTTTGATCTGATCTCTTTCCTCTTGTTATTTTTTAAGGTGAAAGACTTGGTTGCCAGGATACATGGAAAATGGCAGGAAATAATCCAGACCTGTCGGCCTACTCAGGTATCATTTTATTAAAGTTTTACTCAAGTTTATTAAGACTTTTACTAATACTCTTCATACAGTTTTAAACAAAAGTATAACTGAGTATAATTGTTTCTGATTATCTTAAGATAAATTGAAACCCCATTATCTCTGATTTGTGTATATTTTCAGTTCTTGTTTTATATTCACTAATTTATTTTCAGAAGTAATTGTGCTTATTGAAAGTTACGTAGACACAATTTAAAAAAAAAGAAATGTTACATAACATCAAATAGAAATAGATGTTATTTCATGAGCTTTTTTTTTTTTTTTTGGCGGGGGGTGGGGGTCCTGTCATGGGGCCTGAACTCTGGGCCTGGGCCCTGTCCCTCAGCTCTTACCTCAAGGCTAGCGCTCTACCGCTTGAGCCACAGCACCACTACTGGCTTTTTTCTTTTTGCCTATGTGGTGCTGAAAAATCGAACCCAGGGGGGCTGGGAAGGTAGCTCAGCGGTAGAGTGCATGTCTTGCAAGCATGAGGCCCTAGGTTCGATTCCTCAGCACCACATAAACAGAAAAAGCCAGAAGTGGTGCTGTG